TGCATGTCTGGCCTGGTGGTAGCAGTGGTCCCACTCAGCTGTGCTGCGCAGCTTGCAACCCCTGAGTGCGCTGGCCAAGGGACCAGCGGGCTGCGGCTGCTGCCAGACACCTTCAGCCCCGACGTGCTCACCACCCCCCTACATGAAAAAATAACACATACAAAAATAAGCCCTAATGGGTCTTTTGGACCAAAATAAAAGATCCGGTCTTATTTTCGGGGAAACAGTAGATAGTTCCAAATCTTTACGCACATAATAATCTTGTTACAGTTACCATATATAACATCAATTTTCCACAAGACATATTAATATCCCTATTTCCAAAAGTTGTGCTAGTTAATCAAGTACATGAGCAGACATCTTAAAGAATATCAGTGCTGAATACTAGCTGAACTTGAGGAGCTTCCATGGAGTGATCTAAGATGTGTCAGCATTATTTTCACATCACTCAAGGCAAGAAGCCAGATTTAAAATTAAATCAAATCATATGTTCTTGGCCACAATCTATGGGCTTACCCAACTAACTGTCACAATGATTCATGAACGTCAGGAACATGATGAAGCAGCTGTTTCATGAGGTTTCCCCAGGTACTGATGGCACAGATTTCTGTTACCACAAATTTATTTAATCTTCTGATACATCATATCTCATATATTTCTCTTGGAAGCCAACGTATAATCATTCAGATTTTCTCGCTTTCATTTGTATCTGCTTTTAACTATACTAAAATAGTAATTTCATTGCATAGCCTTATATTTAATTCAGTGGTTTTTAAAACCAAAAACTAGGATTGAGAAAAGAAATCAGAGTGTCATTTTTGCTTTATTAATTAAAAACTAAGGAGTGAAACCGCCCAAAATCAATTAAAGTTTATGGGAAGATTCAGCCTATCTATCTATTTACAATAGTTGCAGAACTCCGGGTCACGTGATCACCATTTGCAACCTTCCAGTCAGCTTTCAACAAGCAAGCTAAGGACTACCTGTATTGCACAACTCCAGCAAAACACAATTACAGATATCCCCAGACTTACTATTGTTCATTCAGTGATGAAATTACAAACATACTGAGAAATGTGACTTACAATTGGCACCTCAAGTTTCAGCCGTTAGAGCAACCCCATGGCCACCTGATCAAAATGTGGGTGCTTGGCAGCTCTGCACTTACAACCACAGGAGTGCTGTAACTCCACCCACCTACCCCCCCCAATCTATGTCCTTTTTATGAGGTATGCCCAACTGGCTGCTGGCCTGGACTTTGGCTGTGAAAAAGAAATACTAAAGACAGCCCTTCAACACCCCTTTTTGCCACACTCCTGGGTGGAGCTGGAGCTGGCTTTGCGTTACGGAAAAAAAATGATAGGCAGTCCCTCAGCCATAGAGTCTTAAAATACAATCTTCCACTCCACGCAATTTGCATGGAAACCACTGAATAGATTTCTAGAGGCGATCTCTTGATTCCAGAGGAAATCTGCTTGGTGATTTTAACCCTCAGGGAGTCAAGCCAAAGCCAAGGAAGTTTCAGCTCTCTGTCGCTCTTTTCTTGGCTGCTAGTTAGAAGCAACCATGGGATTCTTCCCTTCTTGCAGGAACGTGCTCAGGTGCTACGCATTGGGAATTTTGCTGAAAAAGGGCATTTCCTTGCAAAGCACATAGTTGCCAGGGCATTTGGCATTTCTCACAGGATCGCTGCTTTACACACCACTGTGGAGGTTTCCCAGGCATTTGGCCCTTTATGGCAGGAGTGTGGCTGTTTTGTGCTGCACCCTGGAGCTTTATAGGCAGTTGGCTCTTCCCAGGGTATGGCATGTTTGGTTGTGCTGCTGGGCTAGGCTGGGGCTGAGGCTTTTAGGGTTGGCTGTGGCTTCTTTCCCCAGCCTCCCTGTTCTCACCACATTACAGCACCCTAACTTGCATGCAGCCTGCCAAGGCCTTCCTCTACCCCTGAGACATTCCTATGTTCTTTATATGGGGCTCCATCCTCTTAATAAGGGCTTTTCAACTAGTGGTATGCGTGCCACTTGTGGTACATTAATGAGTGGCAGGTGGTACGCAGCCCTGCCTAGCCAAGTGTAGTGGGGGAAGGAAAGAGCCAGCACAGGCAAGGACTTGCAGTGAGAGAGTCCTCTGGAGCTGCAAAGGCCCCAGGCTCACTTCTGGCTCACCCTCCCCCATGAGAACGGAGGAGGGGGGGCAGAGACAGGAGAGCCTATAAAAGGAGGCAGCTTGGGCAGGAGAGGAAGAGAGAGAAAAAAGCAGCAGCCTTGGGAGGAGGCAGAGTCAGCTGCACCGAAGGGGAAGGAGGGGGAGGGGAGGGGAGGGGGAGGGTGGGGGGAGAGGACATCAAGCAGGCTGGCCATGAGCCGATCTACAACCGCTGTGGCAGCCACCTGTGCTGGCAGCAGCATACAGGCAAGAAATGCAGTGGGGGAGGGGTCACCCTCCAAGAGGAATGAAAAAAAGGCAGCAATGGCTGGAGGTGAGGCACGGAGGAGGGAAGGAGATGGAGAGTGGAAGGATTCTTATGTGCTTTTGTGACCTTGAAGTTCTGGGATTTGTGCAATGAGGGCTTTGTGTTCTTAAGGAATGTTTGGCAATTTCTATTTGGCTGATGGCTCATGTTAGCTTCTATTGCTCTGCTGTTGTTAGCTGTAAGTTTTGCTGCAAGGGATTTTGAAGTATTTTTCTCCTGAATGGATTTTGCCAGTAGCATTCCTTTACTTATGAATGGAGCCATTTGGGGAGGTTGCCTTAGCCACAGCCAGTACTTATATTTTTTTTTCTTCCTTAAGTGCCGGCTGCGCTCCTTACTTTTCTTTCTAGCCAGTAGCTAATTCTTAAAGGGGAATGTGCCTTTTTAAGCTAGTTCACTCCGCAGCTTGTCTTTTCTGTCTCTGGAGGCCTTTCCTTGTTTGATCAATATATGGAAGACGGAAAATATGGGGGGGGGGTTTTCAAATTCTTCCTTCAGAAGGAGATGGGAATGAGAAAAAGGGAGGCAGGGAAGGGAGGGAGGAAAGGAAGTCCCGCCTTAGCACTTGGCCACCAGCAGCTCTGCCATTGACTTTGCTTGTCAAAAGGTTGCAGAAAGGGATCACATGACCCTGGAACACTGACCATTATAAATATAAATCAGTTGCCAAGCATCCAAATATAAATCACATGACCCTGGGCATACTGCAATGGTCATAAGTGTGAAAAATGGTCATAAGTCATTTCAGTGCAATTGCAACTTTGAACAGGTTTTTTTTTTTTTTTTTGGTCATCAAGTTTTTGACACCTTGCTAGGTGGTACTCGAATATTGCCATATCCTAAAAGTGGTACAATCGGTAAAAAGGTTGAAAAGCCCTGCTCTTAGTCCCAATGGTGATCATAAGTCGAGAAATACCCAAAAGATCAACTTGGAAATTACAGTGTTTGTCTGCTCCTTAAAATATCACTTAATAAAGTCTTGATCATTTGAATACTATAATGTCTCCTGAAAGGTATTATGTCTGCCATTTTGTATACATTTCACCTGAGTATCATATGACTCTTATTTGCAGGGTCTTTTGAATTTCACGTAACAAAAAGATAAAAATCCACGATCATGAAAATGCCATGGTAGAAATACGCTTAAGTCCCAACACTGTTTGCACTTTAGTAAGCATTGATAAGGTTGGCATTTATGTCTGCTGATCTTTTGATGAATAGCAAATATCTTATGACATTTATATACACTGATTGGACATTATGTGTTCAATGTATACTTCTGAAATCAAGAAAATATAAATCTCCTCCTATCTGTATAGTATTGTATTTTATGTTGTTGTTATGATTGTTAAGGTTGTGTTAGTATTGTTTTTATGATTTATACTCTGGATTCAAGGATAGAATAAGATAAATAAAAATGCTCTATTTTCATTTTTGCACTTTGTTTATAATACGTTTGTTTAGGGATTAAAGGACAAGTTCAGAACCATGTACATCTCAATAGTTTTTTATGGACTAAGAAACACTTGTGTTATCATATCTGGCCTCCACATGATCACATGATGACAGCAAATATCAGATAATTCTTTGCCATAATTTAGTGCATATATGGATGCTTATACTCCATATATATTGCCATTTTAATGACAATAAAAGAAAATGTAATCTAGTATATCAGTATATTTAGAAACATTAGGTTGGGGAAAAGTGCTTTAACCTAGCTGATAATGATTATATGAAAAAGCCATATAAATAAACAGTAGGATAAATTGAAATATTCCACATCTAGAAGCTGCAAACCAAGATTTTAAAAGTTAATGTGATGTCTGCTTTCTATTTAATCAAAGAATTATTGCCAGATAGAAATAAAGTTTTTAACGTGTATAAGAGTTACATAGAAATAAAGTATAAGGCAAACTAGTACCTTAGGTTTCTTTAAACCTCTCATTAGGAACATTTTAATTTCAATCTCAGGAAAGGCAAAAGCCAACCTCCAGAAATATTTCCTTGATTTTGTGTGCAGTAAGGGTGAAAATGGAATAGTGGGATGGACAGAAGGGGGAGAAGTAAAATATTCCAGAATGTGGAATGACAATTAACCTTATCCTGTCTACCTTCTTCCCTTATCAGTACGCACTAGGAAAGCAAGAATAACAGCACAAGCCAGAAATAGACAGCTTGAACGTAAAGTACCAATTCTTACCATATTTATGTTCTAATTTAAACATCAAATGGCTTTCTGTCCTCCTCAGAAAAGGAAAACCAGGCCAATTTTTCTAAGCACAACTATACCTAATTTGCAAGGGTCAGCATTGTATCTTCTGAGATGTTGGAAAAAAATATTTCCATCTGAGCCATCAATCTTTCTGTATTAGTGGCCAACTCTGGATCTGTGCAACATGAATAGCTGGAATGACATGCTGTAAAAGCTCTAGCCATAGTAATCATCACAATGAGGAAAGAAGTTATGAAAACAAGCAGGAGCACAAACCTCAGACACCCAGACAGAGACAGAGTGAGAAAGTACCTGGAAAGTTGTGAGTGTGCCAGTCCCTGGATTATACAGGCATCGCAGTGAGGGCATGCTGTCCGCCAGGCTGGAGCAGCCCAGCCAAAGAGACCGGGGCATAGAGCACTGCAGAGAAAGGACAACTATGAGATGGGACTGTATGAGACAGGATGGTACAGAATACAGAAATTTCTATCTCTGTACAGGTAGTCATCGACATATGACCACAATTGGAACTGGAATTTCTGTCATAAATTGTTGCGGTTATAAGTCAGTCAGACCTCATTTTTAATGGTGGCCGTTAAGTAAATCACTGTGGTAGTTAAGAAATCCATTTTCCCCATTGGCTGCTTTTTGCTGGAAATTGACAAAAAAGATAGCAAATCACAACCCCGTGACTGCAGGAGACTGCAACTGGTCATGAATGTGAGCCAGTTGCCAAACACCTGAATTATAATCACACGATCATTGGGGAGGGGGCTTGCAACGATCATAAGCATGAGTACAGGTCATAAGTCACTTTTTCCAAGGCTGATGTAATTTTGAACCATCAAAGTTAAACAATCAGTCATAAGTGAGGACTACCTGCAATTTAAGTTCTTAGCAAAATTACAAGTTAGTGTTAAGAAACTGGAATAGCTTCCACACACCTACACATTAGTGACCGGTATGTTCCCCTTAGAGAAAAGCAGAAGGGAGGGCAAGGTAGGAAATACCACACTTCTTGCACACACAAATAAAGCTAATTAACTTTCTCATTAACATTTCATACTATTTTGTTTGCAAATGTATTCTAATTCAAAAGAGTCAATTCAATGCTTTTAGTGGATCTCAATTACTTGTTCTTTTAACCCATTAACCAACTAATTAAAACAAATATTATAAAACCTAACGTAAGTATAATCAAGCTAATTCAGTGATTCATTTTTCCTTCATAGAAATTCATCTGACCCTTTCCCTGTGCATCTTAATCATGGCTAGTTTTAATCATGGCAATACCTTAACTACTGTTAATATTTATCATCTATTTCTACCCAGAGTTGAAACAATTAGCAGTAAATAAAACACCTGTATCAATATGCTGGAAATTGAGACCAGAGACAGAAAGGTAACATTTATATTTTATATAAATTCCTTTGCCTTTTCCCCAAAAAGGTTTTCTCTTCCATTCATAACTTAGGTTAAATTAGTTAGTAATATAAAAGCACCTGATAAACTTTAGAGTGAACCTATCCATAACATTACACTAACCTAGGACATTTCCATCTCTATGATACTCCTGTACACCCCTAAATTGTTACAAAAATTGTAGAGCACAGCATGTGATAATTTGCTTATCTTTTGCTTTGAACTTTACCTGTTCTATGCATACAGTTACCATGAATTATAAAATATGTTTATGTGAACATATGAATTCAGACAAATGTAGTTTATTCAGCAAACTAGATATACTGCAAAATTTAAACTTAGTTTCAGTCCCCTCCTATTCATCTTGGAAGCTGGAGAAGTACTGGGACCTGAACAAAGAACTATAGAAAACGTAGAAAGTAAAGGTAAAGTGGTCCCAGTGGTGATATAGAAGCACTCGGCACTGTGATTCCTAAGCTTGGGGAGTGGCTCCAACAGATCCCAGGAAGAATATCAGAGCTCTCGGTCCAGAAGAGTGCAGTGTTAGGAACAGCTAAGATATAGCACTGAACCCTCCAACCCCCAGGCCTCCGGCAGAGGATCTAAGTTTGAGGAAGACACATACCACCCATAGGGATGAAAAGGGAATTTTAAAAAAATATATCATTATAATAATATGCAACATTAAAAAACAGAAATATTAGACATGTTCACCATTATATCTAAAAATGGAATAAAAATAATATAATAATAATTAAACAAAAAGAAAAGATGAATTAGAGACTTTGAAGAAATATATAACAGCTTTACTATTTAATCTGTATTAAATGGGGCGTTGTCTTACCTGAACGCCTTTTCTCAGCAGGATGATGTAGAGTCCAAATGGATGGGTTCTATGACGGCCTTCCTGCCTGGCAGACTGGGTAAAAACTTCGGCCACACCCCTTCCTTTGGGCGTGACCCCAGTTTTGACTTAGGCGAGAAACTTTGTTGGAATTAACCTTGCAGCTCTTTATTATATCTTTATTATAACCCTGCCTAGACCTATCCTCTGGGTGGGCTTGGACTCTACATCATCCTGCTGAGAAAAGGCGTTCAGGTAAGACAACGCCCCTTCTCCAGCAGGATGGCTGTAGAGTCCAAATGGATGGGACATACCAAAGCCCTCATGTCCCCCTGGGAGGGAATGTCTAGGCTACCGAACTCTGAGCAGATACGACTTGTTGAAGAACTCTTCTGCCAAAAGCCGCGTCTGCTGCTGCTAGGGAGTCTAAACGGTAATGTCGAATAAAAACCGAAGGTGAGGACCAGGTTGCGGCCCTGCAAATCTCTTCCACCGGAGCTTGCGTTAGCCACGCCGCAGATGTAGCTGCGCTCCGAGTTGAGTGAGCAGTCACCTGAGTGGGTGCTGGCAAATCCTGTGAGACGTAGGCCTGCGCTATGCAGGCTCTGATCCACCTGCCTATGGTGGAAGGAGATACCTTCTTTCCCATAGTTGCTGGTTGAAAGGACACAAATAATGCTTCAGTCTTTCGGAAAGCCGAGGTGCGTTTCACGTAGAAACACAGCGCTCTCCGCACGTCCAGCTTGTGCCATCTGTGTTCTAGTCTATGTTTGGGTCTTGGACAGAAATCAGGAAGCGAAAGTTCCTGAGATCTGTGAAAGATGCTATTTACCTTCGGAATGAAGGTCGGGTCTGGTCTAAGAACGACCCTGTCTTTGAAAAAGGTACACAGATCCTTCCTTACTGACAGTGCTGCTAGTTCTGAGATTCTTCTTGCTGAAGTAATTGCCACAAGGAAAGCTACCTTCAGTGATAGGTGATGGAGTGAGCATGTTTCAAGAGGTTCGAAGGGTGCTGATGTCAAGGCTAGAAGGACCTTAGGCAGGTTCCAGGACGGGTACCTGTGTATGACTGGGGGCTTTGTGTTAGATGCCCCTTTTAAAAAGGCATTAATAGCTGGATGCTGTGCTAGGGAAGTTAAGTTGTCGCAGGAGAGTACAGTTGAGAGGGCCGATATCTGTCTGCGGATAGTATTGACTGACAGGCCCTTATTAAGACCCTCCAGTAGGTAATCTAGGATATTGGGAATAGATACTGCGGTCGGGTCTAGGTGAAGCGAAGCGCACCACCTACAAAATCCCTTCCACGTAGCGTCATAAATCCTATTAGTGGACGCTCTTCGTGATGCCTGTATGATCGATATCACCCCTGCAGAATAAGATTGTTTAGTTAAGCTTTGCCGCTCAAATGCCAAGCGGCTAGTTGTAGCCACTGGGGATCTGGGTGTACAAGCTTGCCCTGACTGAGTTTTACCTTGTCCGGGGGGATCCTCCACGGAGGTGATATCGAAAGGTCCACGAGGTCGGCAAACCACGGGCGCCGTGGCCAGTGAGGGGCAATGCAGACCATTTCTGCGCCCTCCAGGATCATCTTGCGTATGGTTGCCGGTATTAATGGCAGTGGTGGGAAGGCGTACAGGAGTTGCGCCGGCCACCGGCACCTGAGAGCATCCGTTCCCTCCGATCCCGGGGACGGGAATCTGGAGAAGAACCTGGGGAGCTGTGTGTTCTTGTGGTTGGCAAATAGATCTAGGTGCGGTTGTCCGAACCTCCGGGAGATCTCCTCGAAGAGAGCCGGGTCCAGACGCCATTCCGACTGGTCCACCTTGGCTCTGCTCAGGGAGTCTGCCTGGGTGTTTGTCTCCCCTGAGATGTGTTCCGCTCTGATGGAACTCACATTGGCTTCTGCCCACCGAGACAGAGCCAATGCTTCCTTCATTAGTTCCACTGATTTCGTTCCTCCCTCCTTGTTTACATGCGCCTTGGCTGCTACATTGTCTGTAAGCACGAGGACGTGCCTCCTCGTTACTAGGTGTGAGAAATGACGGAGGGCCAGGTGTATGGCCCGGAGCTCTAGCCAGTTGATGCTGTGTGACAGGTCCTTCTGACCCCACTGGCCCTGTGCTATCTGGGTCCCCAGATGGGCTCCCCATCCGAACAGGCTCGCATCTGTCGTGAGCGTGACCCTGTTCGGTTCCCTGAATATGCTCCCCTTGAGTGTCATGGGGGATAGCCACCATTTTAGTGATTTCATCACCTGTGCTGGTACCGGCACTCTCCTGCTGGAGGTGCTGAGGTTCCTCCTCTGGTAGGGTAGGAGGAACCACTGCAACTCCCTCGAGTGGAGCCTTGCCCATGGGATGATGCCCATGCAAGATATCATCTTCCCCAGGAGCTTCGAGAGTTGTAGCAAGGGCACTCTCCTGATCTTTTGAATTTGGTGGATTAGCTTGGATATGCTGATCAGTCGCTCCTGGGAAAGGAATACCCTGCACTGTGACGTGTCTATCACCGCGCCCAGGTGTTGCAGTCTCCTTGAGGGAATGAGGTGGCTCTTGTTTAGATTGACCGAGAATCCGTGCCCCTGTAGGGTTCGGATCGTGGTCTTGAGATCTGCCCTTGCTTGTTCCTGAGATCTGGACTGAATCAAGATGTCGTCCAGATAAAACTGTACGCGAACCGGCATCAGCCTGAGATGGGCTGCTATTACAGCTAGGATTTTGGTAAATACCCTTGGTGCTGAAGATAGTCCGAAGGGTAAGGCCCTGTATTGGTAATGCCGGCCCGCGTAGGTAAATCTGAGGAATTTCCGGTAGCTGGGATGGATGGGAATGTGTAGGTACGCCTCTGTGAGATCTATTGAGGATAATAGATCGTCTTCCCTGACGCTGGCTAGGATGGACTTCAATGAGTGCATCTTGAACTTCCTGTACTTTATGAAATGATTCAGGCCCTTCAGGTCCAATATTGCTCTCCACCCTCCTGATGTCTTTGGAATAACGAAGAGGATGGAATAAAATCCTCTTCCCTCCTCTTCCTTTGGTACCCTCTCTATGGCTTGAATTGACAGGAGGTGAGCTATGGCCGAAGTTATCAGCCTCGTCTTGTGTACCTTTCTGGAGATGGGGCATCTGATGAACCGGCTTGGTGGGGGA